CCCCAAAAACCCCAAAACCACCCCAAAACCCCCTGGGACCCCCAGGACCCTGGCCAGGCTGCCCCCAGGGAGATCCGAGCGCCAGGAGGTCATCAATGGTGGGGAGCCCAAAAACCCCAAAAACCACCCCAAAAACTCCCAAAAACCACCCCCAAAAACCCCAAACCACCCCCAAAACCACCCCAAAAACCCCAAAACCACCCCAAACCACCTGGGACCCCCAGAGCCTGGCCAGGCTGCCCCCAGGGAGATCCAGCGCCAGGAGGTCATCAATGGTGAGGAGCCCCAAAAACCACCCCAAAAACCCCAAAAACTCCAAAAACCACCCCAAAAATGGCCTTGGCACCCCCAAAAACCCCAAAAACCACCCCAAAAACCCCCCGGGACCCCAGACCCTGGCCAGGCTGCCCCCCAGGGAGATCCGGCGCCAGGAGGTCATCAATGGTGAGGAGCCCAAAACCACCCCAAAACCCCAAAACCCCAAAAAAACCCTAAAACCCCTAAAAACCACCCCAAAACCCCCAAAAACCCCCCGGGACCCCCAGACCCTGGCCAGGCTGCCCCCCAGGGAGATCCGGTGCCAGGAGGTCATCAACGGTGAGGGGAACCCCAAAAACCCCAAAAACCACCCCAAAACACCCCAAAAAAACCCCCAAAACCCCCAAAAACCACCCCAAAAGCCCCCCGGGACCCCAGACCCTGGCCAGGCTGCCCCCCAGGGAGATCCGGCGCCAGGAGGTCATCAATGGTGAGGAACCCAAAAACCCACCCCAAAAAATGGCCTTGGCACCCCCAAAAACCCCCAAAAAACCCCAAAAACCCTGGGACCCCAGACCCTGGCCAGAGCTGCCCCCAGGGAGATCCGAGGCGCCAGGAGGTCATCAACGGTGAGGGAGCCCAAAAACCCCCAAAAACCCCAAAAACCCCAAAATGGCCTCAGCCAAAACCCCAAAAACCCCAAAACCCCCAAAAAAGGCCTTACCCAAAAACCCCAAAACCACCCCAAAACCCCTAAAGACCCCAGGCCCAAAGGCTGCCCCCAGGGAGATCCGGCGCCAGGAGTCATCCAACGAGAGGCCAACCCCAAACCCACTCCAAAAATGGCCTTAGGAACCCCAAAGACCCCAAAACCACCCCAAAACCCCCAAAACCACCCCAAAACATGGGCACCCCAAAGACCCCAAAAACCCCAAAAACCCACCCCAAACCCACCCTAAAACCCACCCCAAAAACCACCCCAAAACCGCCCTGGCACCCCAAAGACCCAAAACCACCTCAAAGTCCCCAGGACCCCCAAACCCCCCCAAATCCCCCCAAAGCCCCTAGGGACCCTCAAAGACCCCAGGGACCCCTCAAACCCCCAGGGAGCCCCCTACAGACCTCTCAGGGACCCCTCAAATCCTCCCTGGGACCCTCAAATCCCCCAGGGACCTCAAAGACCCCAGGGACCCCCAAAGACCCCCTGGGACCCCCAAACCCCCAGGGACCCTCAAAGACCCCCAGGAGCCCCTACAGACCCTCAGGGACCCCCTAAAGACCCTTTCAGGGACCCCTCAAACCCCCCTGGGACCCCTCAAACCCCCTGGGACCCCCAAACCCCCAGGGACCCCCTAAAGACCCTCAGGGACCCCTCAAAGCCCCCAGGACCCCCAAATCCCCCAAATCCCCCAGAGCTGTTCCTGACGGAGCACGCCCACGTTCGGATGCTGCGGGTGCTGCTCGAGGGGTTTTCCAGCCCTGGGACCCCCAAACCCCCAGGGACCCCTCAAATCCCCCAAGGACCCCCTACAGACCCTCAAACAGCTCCTGGGACCCCCTAAAGACCCCCAAATCCCCCAAATCCCCCAAATCCCCCAGAGCTGTTCCTGACGAGCACGCCCACGTTCGGATGCTGCGGGTGCTGCTCGAGGGTTTCTCCAGCCCTGGGACCCCCAACCCCCAGGGACCCCCTAAAGATCCCCAGGACCCCCTAAGATCCCCTCAAACCCCTAGGACCCCCAAATCCCCCAAATCCCCCAATCCCCCAGAGCTGTTCCTGACGGAGCACGCCCACGTTCGGATGCTGCGGGTGCTGCTCGAGGGGTTTTCCAGCCCTGGGACCCCCAAACCCCCCAGGGACCCCTCAAACCCCTCTAAAGACCCTCAAACACCCCCAGGGACCCCTCAAACCCCCAAATCCCCCCAAATCCCCCAATCCCCCAGAGCTGTTCTGACAGAGCACGCCCACGTTCGGATGCTGCGGGTGCTGCTCGAGGGGTTTTCCAGCCCTGGGACCCCCTAAACCCCTACAGGGACCCTCAAATCCCTCTGGGACCCCTACAGACCCCAGGACCCCCAAAATCCCCCAAATCCCCTCAATCCCCCAGAGCTGTTCCTGACGGAGCACGCCACGTTCGGATGCTGCGGGTGCTGCTCGAGGGGTTTCTCCAGCCCTGGGACCCCCAAAACCCCCAGGGACCCTCTAAGACCCTCAAACCCCCCAGGGACCCCCTCAAGACCCCCAAATCCCCCAAATCCCCCAATCCCCCCAGAGCTGTTCCTGACGGAGCACGCCCACGTTCGGATGCTGCGGGTGCTGCTCGAGGGGTTTTTCCAGCCCTGGGACCCCCAAACCCCCCAGGGACCCCCTAAACCCTCAAGACCCCCAGGGACCTAGCCCTCAAACAGCCCTGGGACCCCCAAATCCCCCAAATCCCCCCAATCCCCCAGAGCTGTTCCTGACGGAGCACGCCCACGTTCGGATGCTGCGGGTGCTGCTCGAGGGTTTCTCCAGCCCTGGGACCCCCCAAACCCCCAGGGACCTCCTAGAGACCCTCAAACACCCCCAGGGACCCCCTACAGACCCTCAGGGACCCCCAAAGCCCCCCAAATCCCCCCCAAATCCCCCCAGAGCTGTTCCTGACGGAGCACGCCCACGTTCGGATGCTGCGGGTGCTGCTCGAGGGGTTTTTCCAGCCCATGCTCCGCGAGGGTTTCTTCGACGAGCAGGAGCTCTCCAACATCTTCCCCAGCCTCGAGGACCTCGTGGAGGTTCACAGTGAGTCGGGTTTTTATTTTGGGGGGGTCTTTGAGTCGTTTTTTGGGGGGTTTTGGGGGGGTTTTTGACCCCTCCTTGCTCCGTTTCTGTCCCAGCTTTGTTCCTCGACAGCCTCAAGAGGCTGCGGGAGGAGAGCGGCTTCGTCATCGGCCCCATCGGGGACGTCCTGCTGGCCAGGGTGAGGCTCTGGGGGCTTTGGGGTCCTGGGGGTCCTCGGGGTCTGGGGGTATCGGGGGTTGGGGAGATCTCGAGGGGTCCAGGGAGGATTTGGGGGTGACACTAAAGGGTTTGGGGCGAGAGCGGCTTCAGTCATCGGCCACATCGAGGCCAGGGTGAGCATTTGGGGGATTTGGGGGTCCTGGGGGTCCTGAGGGTCCCTCTTGGGGTCTGGGGGGTCGGGGGGGTTGGGGGGGGGCACAGGGCTCAGTTCTGATCTGGGGGTCTCCCCCTTGATTTGGGGGGTCTGTAATTGGGTCTGGGGTCTGTAATTGGGTCTGGGGTCTGTAATTGGGTCTGGGGTCCCTGCAGTTCGAGGGCACCGAGGGCAGTTGGTTCCAGAAGATCTCAGCTTGGTTCTGACCTGGGGGTCTCCCCCATAACTTGGGGGTCTCCCCTTTGATTTGGGGGGTCTGTAATTGGGTCTGGGGTCTGTAATTGGGTCTGGGGTCCCTGCAGTTCGAGGGCACCGAGGGCAGTTGGTTCCAGAAGATCTCGGCTCAGTTCTGACCTGGGGGTCTCCCCCATAACTTGGGGGTCTCCCCTTTGATTTGGGGGGTCTGTAATTGGGTCTGGGGTCTGTAATTGGGTCTGGGGTCCCCGCAGTTCGAGGGCACCGAGGGCAGTTGGTTCCAGAAGATCTCAGCTCACCCCTGACCTGGGGGTCTCCCCTTTGATTTGGGGGGTGTGTAATTGGGTCTGGGGTCTCCCCTTTGATTTGGGGGGTCTGTAATTGGGTCTGGGGTCTGTAATTGGGTCTGGGGTCTCCCATTTGGGTCTGGGGTCCCTGCAGTTCGAGGGCACCGAGGGCAGTTGGTTCCAGAAGATCTCAGCCTGTCCCTGACCTGGGGGTCTCCCCTTTGATTTGGGGGGTCTGTAATTGGGTCTGGGGTCTGTAATTGGGTCTGGGGTCTGTAATTGGGTCTGGGGTCTCCCATTTGGGTCTGGGGTCCCCGCAGTTCGAGGGCACCGAGGGCAGTTGGTTCCAGAAGATCTCAGCTCGTCCCTGACCAAAGGGAGAACCCCCTTTGATCTGGGGGTCTCCCCCTTGATTTGGGGGGGTCTGTAATTGGGTCTGGGGTCTGTAATTGGGTCTGGGGTCTGTAATTGGGTCTGGGGTCCCTGCAGTTCGAGGGCACCGAGGGCAGTTGGTTCCAGAAGATCTCGGCTCAGTTCTGACCTGGGGGTCTCCCCCATAACTTGGGGGTCTCCCCCTTGATTTGGGGGGTCTGTAATTGGGTCTGGGGTCTGTAATTGGGTCTGGGGTCTCCCATTTGGGTCTGGGGTCCCCGCAGTTCGAGGGCACCGAGGGCAGTTGGTTCCAGAAGATCTCAGCCCGGTTCTGCAGCCGCCAAAGCTTCGCCCTCGAGCAGCTCAAGGCCAAGCAGAGGAAGGACACCCGGTTCAACCAGTTCATCCAGGTGGGACCCCCAAAAACACCCCAAAAACACCCCTGGGAAAACACCCCCAAAACACCTCTGGGACCCCCAAAACACCCCAAAAACACCCCAAAAACACCCCAAAAACACCCCTGGGACCCCCAAAAACACCCCTGGGACCCCCAAAATGAGGTGATTTGGGGGGTCAGTGCAGAGACACCCGGTTCAACCAGTTCATCCAGGTGGGACCCCCAAAAACACCCCAAAACCAGCCCTGGGACCCCCAAAACACCCCAAAAACACCCCTGGACCCCCCAAAACACCCCTGGGACCCCCAAAATGAGTTGATTTGGGGGGGGGGTCAGTGCAAGGACACCCGGTTCAACCAGTTCATCCAGGTGGGACCCCCAAAAACACCCCAAAAACACCCCAAAACACCCCAAAAACACCCCAAAACAGCCCAAAATCACCTCTGGGACCCCCAAAATCACCCCTGGGACCCCAAAAATGAGGTGATTTGGGGGGGGGGTCAGTGCAAGGACACCTGGTTCAACCAGTTCATCCAGGTGGGACCCCCAAAAACACCCCTGGGACCCCCAAAAACACCCCCAAAACACCCCTGGGACCCCCAAAACACCCCAAAAACTCCCTGGGACCCCAAAACACCCCAAAAACACCCCTGGGACCCCCAAAATCACCCCTGGGACCCCCAAAACACCCCAAAAACACTCCTGGGACCCCCAAAACACCCCAAAAACAACCCTGGGACCCCCAAAATGAGTTGATTTGGGGGGGGGGGTCAGTGCAAGGACACCCGGTTCAACCAGTTCATCCAGGTGGGACCCCCAAAAACACCCCAAAACCAGCCCTGGGACCCCCAAAACACCCCAGAAACACTCCTGGGACCCCCAAAACACCCCTGGGACCCCCAAAACACCCCAAAAACGCCCCTGGGACCCCCAAAACACCCCAAAAACACCCCTGGGACCCCCAAAACACCCCCAAAACACCCCAAAACACCCCAAAAACACCCCTGGGACCCCCAAAACACCCCAAAAACACTCCTGGGATCCCCAAAAACCACCCCTGGGACCCCCAAAATCACCCCTGGGACCCCCAAAATGAGGTGATTTGGGGGGGTCAGTGCCAGGACACCCGGTTCAACCAGTTCATCCAGGTGAGACCCCCAAAAACACCCCAAAACACCCCAAAACACCCCAAAAACACCCCTGGGACTCCAAAAACACCCCAAAACAGCCCAAAAACACCTCTGGGACCCCCAAAACACCCCAAAACACCCCAAAAAACACCCCAAAACACCCCTGGGACCCCCAAAAACACCCCAAAAACCCCCCTGGGACCCCCAAAATGAGGTGATTTGGGGGTCAGTGCCAGGACACGCGGTTCAACCAGTTCATCCAGGTGGGACCCCCCAAAAACACCCCCAAAACACCCCAAAACACCCCAAAAACACCTCTGGGACCCCCAAAACACCCCAAAAACACCCCAAAACACCCCAAAAACACCCCTGGGACCCCCAAAATGAGGTGACTGGGAGGTCAATGCCAGAACACCCGGTTCAACCAGTTCATCCCGGTGGGACCCCCAAAAACAGCCCAAAATACCCCAAAACACCCCAAAATCACCCCTGGGACCCCCAAAATGAGGTGATTTGGGGGGGGGGTCAGTGCAAGGACACCCGGTTCAACCAGTTCATCCAGGTGGGACCCCCAAAAACACCCCAAAAACACCCCAAAACACCCCAAAAACACCTCTGGGACCCCCAAAAACACCCCAAAATCACCCCTGGAAAACACCCCAAAAACACCCCAAAACAGCCCCAAAACCAACCCTGGGACCCCCAAAATCACCCCTGGGACCCCCAAAATGAGGTGATTTGGGGGGAGTCAGTGCTGAGGACACCCGGTTCAACCAGTTCATCCAGGTGGGACCCCAAAAACACCCTGGGACCCCAAAACACCCCAAAACACCCCTGGGACCCCCAAAAACACCCCAAAACACCCTGGGACCCCCAAAAACACCCCAAAAACACCCCCTGGGACCCCAAAACACACCCTGGGACCCCAAAACACCCCAGAGCCACCCCAAAACACCCTGGGACCCCCAAAAACACCCCTGGGACCCCAAAATCACCCCTGGGACCCCAAAACACCCCTGGAAAAATACTCTGGGACCCCAAAAAACACCCCTGGGACCCCCAAAACCACCCTGGGACCCCAAAACACCCCAAAACCACCCTGGGACCCCCGAAAATCAGGGGTCAGGGGGTATCCAGGGTGATTTTGGGGTCCCAATGACAGAGAGAGTGGTCAGGGATTGGGGTGGTCAGGGGGGATTTGGGGTCAGTGCAAGGACAAGGAGATTTATCCAGTTCATCCAAGTCCCCCCAAAAACCATCCTGGGACCCCCAAACCACCCCTAGGACCCCCAAATGACTCAAATCCCCACCAAGACCCCCAAAAAGTCCCCTGGGACCCCCAAAAGTGCCCTGGGACCCCCAGAGCCCCCCTGTGCCCCCAGGAGGCCGAGCCGCCCCCGGTGCCGGCGGCTGCAGCTCAAGGACATCATCCCCACCGAGATGCAGCGGCTCACCAAGTACCCCCTGCTGCTGCTCAGCATCACCAAGTGCTCTGGTGAGCCCCAAAAACCTCCCTGAACCCCAAAAACTGTGACCCCAAAACCCCCAAACCTCCCTGACCCCAAAAACACCCCCTGACCCCAAAAACCCCGACCCGAAACCCCCAAACCTCCCTGACCCCAAAACCCCAACCCTCACTAAGTACCCCCTGCTGCTGCTCAGCATCACCAAGTGCTCTGGTGAGCCCCAAAACACCCCTGAACCCCAAAAACACCCCTGAACCCCCAAAACACCCCCTGAACCCCAAAACCCCGACCCCCAAACCCCCAAACCTCCCTGACCCCAAAAGCCCCAACCCTCACCAAGTACCCCCTGCTGCTCAGCATCACCAAGTGCTCTGGTGGGCCCCCAAAAACACCCTGAACCCCAAAAACACCCCTGAACCCCCAAAACACCCTGAACCCCAAAAGCCCCGACCCCAAACCCCCAAACCTCCCTGACCCCAAAGCCCAGCCCTCACCAGGTACTCCCTGCTGCTGCTCAGGCATCACCAAGTGCTCTGGTGAGCCCCAAAACACCCCTGAACCCCAAAAACACCCCTGAACCCCAAAAACACCCCTGACCCCAAAACCCCTGACCCCCAAACCCCCAAACCTCCCTGACCCCAAAAACCCCAACCCTCACCAAGTACCCCCTGCTGCTGCTCCAGGCATCACCGAGTTAGCTCCGGTGAGCCCCAAAACACTCCCCTGAACCCCAAAACACCCCCTGAACTCCCAAAAACACCCCTGAACCCTCCTGCAAAACCCTGACCCCAAACCCCCAACCTCCCTTGACCCCGGGGTAACCCCAACCCTCGCCAAGTACTCCCCAAGGCTCATCACCAAGTGCCTGTGAGCCCCCAAAAAGCACCCTGACCCCTTAAGTACACCCTGTAACCCCAGCATCACCCTGACGCTAAACTGGTGAGCTTCGCTACCCTAGACCTCCTGACTGAAATACCCCAACTCGCTACACTTCACTGCCCAGCATCACCAAGTGCTCTGGGTGAGCCCCAAAACAACCCCTGAACCCCAAAAACACCCCTGAACCCCCAAAGCCCCACGACCCCTGAAACCCCCACAGCCTCCTGACCCCAAAAACCCCAACCCAGAAACCCCCAAACCTCCCTGACCCCAAAAACCCAGCCCTCACCAAGTACCCCCTGCATCAGAAATCACCAGAGTGCTCTGGTGGCTGCCCAAGCATCGAACCCCAGAGTACTCCGTGAACCCCAAAAACACCCCTGGACCCCAAAAAACAACCCCTGAACCCCAAAAACACCCCTGGACCCCAAAGCCCACCCTAGAGCCCCCAAACCTCCTGACCCCAAACCCCAACCTGAAATCCCAGACCTCCTGACCCCAAAGCCCCAGCCCTCTGAGTGCCCCTGCAGCACTCGGCATCATCAGTGCTCTGGTGAGCCCCAACTACCCCTGAACCCCAAAAAATGCCCCTGAACCCCAAAAAACAACCCCTGACCCCAAAACACCTGAACCCCGACCCCTGGACCCCAAACCCCACCCCAAACCCCCAAACCTCCATGACCCCCAAACACCCTGACTCCCAAAATCCCAGAACCTCACCAAGTACCCCCTGCTGCTGCTCAGACATCACCAAGTGCTCTGGTGGGCCCCAAACACCCCTGAACCCCAAAAGCACCCCTGAACTCCCCAAAAACCCCGACCCCCAAACCCCCAAACCTCCCTGACCCCCAAAAACACCCCTGACCCCAAAATCCCAAACCTCACCAAGTGCCCCGCTGCTGCTCAGCATCATGCAAGTGCTCTGGTGAGGCCCAAAACACCCCTGAACCCCAAAAACCCCGACCCCAAAGCCCCAAACCTCCCTGAACCCCAAAACCCGACCCCCAAACCCCAAGCCTCCCTGACCCCAAAAACCCCAATCCCAGAAACCCCAAACCTCCTGACCCCAAAAACCCCAGCCCTCACCAAAGTACCCCCTGCTGCTGCTCGGCATCACCAAGTGCTCTGGTGAGCCCCAAACACCCCTGAACCCCAAAACACCCCTGACCCCAAAAGCACCCTGAGCCCCAAAACACACCCCTGAACCCCAAAATCCCAACCCTGAAACCCCCAAACCTCCCTGACCCCAAAACCCTAAGCCTCACCAGAGTACCCTATAACGCTGCTCGACATCAAGTGCTCTGGTGAGGCCCCAAACACCCTGACCCCCAAAAACACCCTGAGACCCCAAAAACACCCCTGGACCCCAAAAGCCGACCCCAAAACCCCCAAACCTCCTGACCCAAAGACCCGACCTGAGAACCCCCAAACCTCCCATTCCCCAAAACCCCAACCCTCACCAAGTACCCCCTGCTGCTGCTCAGGCATCACCAAGTGCTCTGGTGAGCCCAAGCTACCCCTGGACTAAAGACACCCCCTGAACCCCAAAAACCCGACCCCCAAACCTAAACCTCCTGACCCCAAAACCCCAAACCTCACCAAGTACCCCCTGCTGCTGCTCAGCATCACCAAGTGCTCTGGTGAGCCCCAAGCTACCCCTGAACCCCAAAAACACCCCCTGAACCCCAAAAACCCCGACCCCGAAACCCCCAAACCTCCCTGACCCCAAAAACCCCAACCCTCACCAAGTACCCCCTGCTGCTGCTCAGCATCACCAAGTGCTCTGGTGAGCCCCAAAAACACCCCTGAACCCCAAAAACCCCAATCCCGAAACCCCCAAACCTCCCTGACCCCAAAAACCCCGACCCCCAAACCCCCAAACCTCCTGACCCCAAAACCCTGACCCCCAAACCCCTCTGAGCCCCCAAAACCCCCTCAAACCCCTCTCTGAGCCCTCCAAACCCCTCTGAGCCCCCAATCCCCCAAACCCCTCTCTGAGCCCCCAAACCCCTCTGAGCCCCCCAATTCCCCCCAAACCCCTCTGACCCCCAAACCCCTCTGAGCCCCTAAAACCCCTCAAACCCCTCTCTGACCGCCCCAAACCCCTCTGAACCCCCAAAACCCTTCAAATCCCTCTCTGACCCCCTCAAACCCCTCTGAGCCTCCCAAAGCCCCCAAACCCCTCTGAGCCTCCCAAAAACCCCCAAACCCCTCTGGGCCCCCAAAAACCCTTCAAATCCCTCTCTGACCCCAAAACCCCCTCAAGCCCCTCTCTGAGCCCCCAAACCCCTCTGAACCCCAAAACCCCCTCAAACCCCTCCAATCCCCCCAAACCTCTCTGAGCCCCCTCAAACCTCTCCTGACCCCCTAAACTCTCTGGGCCCCCAAAACCCTCAAATCCCTTTCTGACTCCCCCAAACCCTCTGAGCCCCCAATTCCCCCCCAAACCCCTCTCTGACCCCCAAGCCTCTGAACCCCCAAAACCCCTCAATCCCTCTCTGACCCCCAAACCCTCTGAGCCCCCAAAACCCCTCAATCCCTCTCTGACCCCCAAACCCCTCTGAGCCCCCTAACTCCTCTCAGCCCCTAAACCCCTCTCAACCTCCTCTCTGACCCCCCCAAACCCCTCTGAGCCCCCAATTCCCCCTCAAATCCCTCTCTGACCCCCAATTCCCCCTCAAACCCTTTCTGACCCCCAAACCCCCTGAGCCCCTCAAAACCCCTCAGAGCCGTCTCCGGACCGCGCCAAGGTGGAGCAGGCGGCCGAGTGCTGCCGCCAGATCCTCAACCACGTCAACCAGGAGGTCCGGGACATGGAGAACCTCATGGTAGGGACCCCCAGGACACCCCCCTGGGACCCCCCAAAATGTCTGTGCCCTCCATCAGCACCATCATCATCATCATCATCATCACCATCATCATCATCATCATCATCACCATCATCATCCCCCCCATCACAGAAACTCAAGGATTACCAGCGGCGCCTCGACCTCTCCAACCTGAAGCAGATCACGGACCCTCTGCTGAGCGAGTTCAAGGTAGGGGGGAACGCCGGGACCCTTCCCCAAAATCCCCCCAGTTCACGCCTGACCCCAAAAATCGCCTCTGGTCCCCCAAAATCCACCCAGAACTCCCGAATTCCCCCTCGTGTCCTCCACCGTTTTGTCCCCTCATGTTTCCCGCCATTTTCCCCTCAGTTTTCCCTCAATTTTCCACTGACATTCCCCTCTATTCTTTCCTCACGTTTCCGTCTGCTTTCCCCACATATTTCTTTCTACTTTCCCCTCACATTTCCTTCCATTTTCCTCTCACGTTTCCCTCCGTTTTCCCCTCACATTTCACTCAATTTTTCCCTCACGTTTCTCTCCCTTTTCCCCTCACATTTCCCTCAATTTTTCCCTCACATTTCTCTCCATTTTCCTCTCACATTTCTCACCCATTTCCCCTCAATTTCCCACCCCTTTTCCCCTCACATTTCCCTCCGTTTTCCCCTCACATTTCCTACCCTTTTCCCCTCACGTTTCCCTCTATTTTCCTCTCACGTTTCCCACTCTTTTCCCCCTCAGGTTTCCCTCACTTTTGCCCTCAATTTTCCACCCCTTTTCCCCTCACATTTCCCTCCATTTCCCCCTCACATTTTCCACCCATTTCCCCTCACATTTCCCACCATTTTCCCTTCACATTTCCCTCCATTTCCCCCTCACATTTCCCACCCATTTCCCCTCACATTTCCCACCATTTTCCCCTCACATTTCCCTCCATTTCCCCTCACATTTCCCACCCTTTTCCCCTGACATTTCCCACCTTTTCCCCTCACATTTCCCTCCATTTTCCCATCACATTTCCTTCCATTTTCCCCTCACATTTCCCTCCCTTTCCCCCTCACATTTCCCTCCCTTTTCCCCTCACATTTCCCTCCATTTTCCCCTCACATTTCCCTCCCTTTTCCCCTCAATTTCCCACCATTTTCCCCTCAATTTCCCACCCCTTTTCCCCTCACATTTCCCTCCCTTGTCCCCTTATGTTTTCCTCCCTTTTCCCCTCACATTTCTCACCCTTTTCCCCTCAATTTCCCACCCCTTTTCCCCTCAATTTCCCACCATTTTCCCCTCACGTTTCCCGCCATTTTCCCCTCAATTTTCCCTCAATTTTCCACTCACATCTCCCTCAATTTTCCACTCACATTCCCCTCTATTCTCCCCTCACATTTCCCTCTGCTTTCCCCACATTTTTCTCTCTACTTTCCCCTCACATTTCCCTCTCTTTTCCCCTTATGTTTCCCTCCATTTTCCCCTCACATTTCCCTCCCTTTTCCCCTCAATTTTCCCTCCCTTTTCCCCTCACATTTCCCACCCTTTTCCCCTCACATTTCCCTCCCTTTTCCCCTCACATTTCCCACCCTTTTCCCCTCACATTTCCCACCCATTTCCCCTCACATTTCTCTCCATTTTCTCCTCACATTCCCCTCCGTTTTCCCCTCACATTTCCCTCTAATTTCCCCACACATTTCCCACCCTTTTCCCCTCAATTTCCCACCTTTTCCCCTCACATTTCCCTCCATTTTCCCCTCACATTTCCCACCCTTTTCCCCTCAATTTTCCACCCCTTTTCCCCTCACATTTCCCACCCATTTCCCCTCACATTTCCCTCCATTTTCCCCTCACATTTCCCTCCCTTTTCCCCTCACATTTCCCACCCATTTCCCCTCACATTTCCCACCCATTTCCCCTCACATTTCTCACCATTTTCCCCTCACATTTCCCTCCATTTTCCCCTCACATTTCCCACCCTTTTCCCCTCACATTTCCCTCCATTTTCCCCTCACATTTCCCTCCATTTTCCCCTCACATTTCCCTCCATTTTCCCCTCACATTCCCCACCATTTCCCCTCCCATTTCCCCCACCTTTTCCCCTCACATTTCCCTCCCTTTCCCCTCACATTTCCCTCCATTTTCCCCCTCACATTTCCCCTCCATTTTCCCCTCACATTCCCCACCATTTCCCCTCAATTTTCCCTCCCTTTTCCCCTCACATTTCCCACCCTTTTCCCCTCACATTTCCCTCCCATTTCCCCTCACATTTCCCTCCATTTTCCCCTCACATTCCCCTCCATTTTCCCCTCACATTTCCCACCCATTTCCCCTCACATTTCCCACCCTTTTCCCCTCAATTTTCCCTCAATTTTCCCCTCAATTTTCCCACCTTTTCCCCTCCCATTTCCCCCAGAACACGGACATCACCAAGCGCACTCTGGTGCACGAGGGGCCCCTCACCTGGCGCGTCACCCGGGACAAAGCCGTGGGTGAGTCCCTTTTTTGGGGGGCTCTCTGAGTATCAGGGGGTCCCCACAACCTCCGTAACCCCCTCCCCAAAATCTTTACCCCCCTCCAGAGGTGCAGGTGCTGCTTCTGGACGACCTGCTGGTGCTGCTGCAGCGGCAGGAGGAGCGGCTGGTGCTGCGCTGGCACAGCCGGGCCCTGGCGCCCGCGCCCGACGGCAAACAGACGCTGAGCCCCGTCATCCGCCTGCGCTCCGCCATGACACGAGAGGTGGCCACAGGTTAGAGTTGTTTTGGGATAGAGGGGATTGGTTTTGGGGTGTACAGGTGGGGTTTGGGGTGCCCAGAACAGACCCTGAGCCCCGTCATCCGCCTGCGCTCCGCCATGACACGCGAGGTGGCCACAGGTTAGGGTTGTTTTGGGGTGTACAGGTGGGGTTTGGGGTGCCCAGAACAGACCCTGAGCCCCGTCATCCGCCTGCGCTCCGCCATGACACGGGAGGTGGCCACAGGTTAGAGCCATTTTGGGGTGTGTAGGGATCAATTTTGGGGTGTACAGGTGGGGTTTGGGGTGCCCAGAACAGACCCTGAGCCCCGTCATCCGCCTGCGCTCCGCCATGACACGAGAGGTGGCCACAGGTTAGAGCCATTTTGGGATATAGGGGATTGTTTTTGGGGTGTACAGGTGGGGTTTGGGGTGCCCAGAACAGACCCTGAGCCCCGTCATCCGCCTGCGCTCCGCCATGACACGGGAGGTGGCCACAGGTTAGAGTTGTTTTAGGGTGTGGGATCAGTTTTGGGGTGCCCAGAACAGACCCTGAGCCCCGTCATCCGCCTGCGCTCCGCCATGACACGAGAGGTGGCCACAGGTTAGAGTTGTTTTGGGGTATAGGGGATTGTTTTTGGGGTGTGTAGGGGTCAGTTTTGGGGTGTACAGGTGGGGTTTGGGGTGTGTAGGGGTCAGTTTTGGGGTGTACAGGTGGGGTTTGGGGTGTGTAGGGGTCAGTTTTGGGGTGTACAGGTGGGGTTTGGGGTGTACAGGTGGGGTTTGGGGTGCCCAGAACAGACCCTGAGCCCCGTCATCCGCCTGCGCTCCGCCATGACACGAGAGGTGGCCACAGGTTAGGGTTGTTTTGGGGTGTGTAGGGATCAGTTTTGGGGTGTACAGGTGGGGTTTGGGGTGTACAGGTGAGGTTTGGGGTGTACAGGTAGGGTTTGGGGTGTGTAGGGGTCAGTTTTGGGGTGTACAGGTGGGGTTTGGGGTGTACAGGTGGGGTTTGGGGTGTGTAGGGATCAGTTTTGGGGTGTACAGGTGGGGTTTGGGGTGCCCAGAACAGACCCTGAGCCCCGTCATCCGCCTGCGCTCCGCCATGACACGGGAGGTGGCCACAGGTTAGAGCCATTTTGGGGTGTGTAGGGGTCAGTTTTGGGGTGTACAGGTGGGGTTTGGGGTGTGTAGGGATCAGTTTTGGGGTGTACAGGTGGGGTTTGGGGTGTACAGGTGGGGTTTGGGGTGCCCAGAACAGACCCTGAGCCCCGTCATCCGCCTGCGCTCCGCCATGACACGGGAGGTGGCCACAGGTTAGGGTTGTTTTGGGATATAGGGGATTGGTTTTGGGGTGTACAGGTGGGGTTTGGGGTGTGTAGGGATCAGTTTTGGGGTGTAGGGATCAGTTTTGGGGTGTACAGGTGGGGTTTGGGGTGCTCAGAACAGACCCTGAGCCCCGTCATCCGCCATGACACGGGAGGTGGCCACAGGTTAGAGTTGTTTTGGGGTGTAGGGGTCAGTTTTGGGGTGTAGGGATCAGTTTTGGGGTGTACAGGTGGGGTTTGGGGTGTGTAGGGGTCAGTTTTGGGGTGTACAGGTGGGGTTTGGGGTGTGTAGGGATCAGTTTTGGGGTGTACAGGTGGGGTTTGGGGTGTGTAGGGGTCAGTTTTGGGGTGTAGGGCTTGTGTTGGGTCACTTGTGCCTCATTTTGCGTCACTTGTGCCTCATTTTTGGGGTGTAGGGGTTGTTTTGAGTCACTTGTGCCTCAATTTTGGGGCACTTGGGGCTCATTTTGGGTCACTTTGGGCTCATTTTGGGTCATTTGTGGCTCATTTTTGGGGTGTAGGGCTCATTTTGGGTCACTTGTGCCTCATTTTGGGTCACTTGGGGCTCATTTTGGGTCACTTGTGCCTCAATTTTGGGGTGTAGGGCTCATTTTGTGTCACTTGTGGCTCATTTTGGGTCACTTGTGCCTCATTTTGGGTCACTTGTGCCTCATTTTGGGTCACTCAGGGCTCATTTTGGGTGTAGGGCTCATTTTGGATCACTTGTGCCTCATTTTGGGTCACTTGGGGCTCATTTTGGGTCACTTGTGCCTCATTTTAGGTCACTTGGGGCTCATTTTGTGTCACTTGGGGCTCATTTTTGGTGTGTAGGTCTCATTTTGTGTCACTTGTGCCTCATTTCGGGTCACTTGTGCCTCATTTCATGTCACTCAGGGCTCGTTTCGAGGCCCAAATGACCCATTTTTGGCCCTTTTTGGGCCATCCCGGGGGGGTTTGGAGCTGCCTCGGGGTGCCCCCAGCCCTAGGGTGCTAGACCCCCAGACCCCCCTTTTTTGATCCCCCCCAGACCACAAGGCCTTCTACGTGATCATCAGCTGGGACAGCGGCGCCCAAATCTACGAGCTGGTGGCGCAGAGCGCGGCCGAGAGGAAGCTGTGAGGGGGGGCACCCCAGTTTGAGGGTCTGGGGGTTGGATCCTGATTTTGGGGGTCTTTGAGGGGGTTTGGGGGATTGGGGGTTGGATCCTGATTTTGGGGGTCTTTGGGGAGTTGGACCCTGATTTTGGGGGGTCTGGGAGGTTTGGGGTTGGAACCCGATTTTGGGGAGTCTGGGGGTTTGGACCCTGATTTTGGGGGTCTGGGAGTTTGACCCTGATTTTGGGGGATCTGGGGGTTGGACCCTGATTTTGGGAGGGACCTGGGGGTTGGATCCTGATTTTGGGGGTCTGGGAGTTTGGAACCCAATTTTGGGGGTCTGGGGGGTTGGATCCTGATTTTGGGGGTCTGGGGGTTGGATCCCGATTTTGGGGGTCTGGGGTTGGATCCCGATTTTGGGGGATCTGGGGGTTGGACCCTGATTTTGGGGGGATCTGGGGGTTTGGATCCCAATTTTGGGGGTCTGGGGAGGTTGGAACCCAATTTTGGGGGGTCTTTGAGGGCGTTTGGGGGGATTGGGGGTTGGATCCCAATTTTGGGGGGTCTGGGGGTTGGATCCCAATTTTGGGGGTCTGAGGGTTGGATCCCAATTTTGGGAGGGATTGGGGGGTCTGGGGTTGGACCCTGATTTTGGGGGTCTGGGGGTTGGACCCTGATTTGGGGGTCTGAAGAGCGTTTGGAGTTGGGTTGGACCCTGATTTTGGGGTCTTTGAGGGGGTCTGGAGGATTGGGAGTTGGATCCTGATTTTGGGGGGTCTGGGGGTTGGATCCCGATTTTGGGGGGTCTGGGGGTTGGACCCTGATTTTGGGGTCTTTGAAGGGGTTTGGAGGATTGGGGGTATTGGACCTGATTTTGGGGGGTCTGGGGGGTCTTTGGGGGTATTGGACCTGATTTTGAGGGGGTCTTTGAGGGGGTTTGGGGGATCTGGGAGTTGGATCCTGATTTTGGGAGGGCCTGGGGGAGTTGGATCCCGATTTTGGGGGATCTGGGGTTGGATCCCAATTTTGGGGGGTCTGGGAGGTTGGAACCCAATTTTGGGGGGTCTTTGAGAGGGTTTGGGGGGATTGGGGGTTGGACCCTGATTTTGGGAGGTCTGGGGATTGGATCCCAATTTTGGGGGTCTGGGGGTTGGATCCCAATTTTGGGAGGATTGGGGAGTCTGGGGGGAGTTGGACCCTGATTTTGGGAGGGTCTGGGGGTTGGATCCCAATTTTGGGGGAGTCTGGGGGTTGGATCCTGATTTTGGGGGTCTTTGGGGAGTTGGACCCTGATTTTAGGGGGTCTAGGGGTTTAGGGGTTGGAACCCGATTTTGGGGAGTCTGGGGTTGGACCCTGATTTTGGGTCTTTGAGGGGGATTGGGGGTTGGACCCTGATTTTGGGAGGTCTGGGGTTGGATCCCGATTTTGGGGGAGTCTTTGAGGGGGTTTGGGTCTGGGGGGTTATTTGGGGGTGGGTTTGGGTCTGGGGGTGTTTGGGGGCGGGATGGGATGTTTGGGGGCTGGATTTGGGTCTGGGGGCAGTTTTGGGTCTGGGGATGTTTGGGGCTGGATTTGGGTCTGGGGTGTCTGGGGGCAGTTTTGGGGTCTGGGGGTGTTTGGGGGCAGTTTTGGGTCTGGGGGATATTTGGGGTCAGTTTTTGGGTCTGGGGGATATTTGGGGTTGGGATTTGGGTCTGGGGGTTATTTGGGGGTAGTTTTTGGGTCTGGGGGTTATTTGGGGGCTGTTTTGGGTCTGGGGGTGTCCTGGGGTGTTTTTGGGTCTGGGGGTTGTTTGGGGGTGTTTTTGGGTCTGGGGGTTATTTGGGGGCAGTTTTGGGTCTGGGGGTGTCTGGGGCAGTTTTTGGGTCTGGGGGTTATTTGGGGGTGTTTTTGGGTCTGGGGGATATTTGGGGGTGTTTTTGGGTCTGGGGGATATTTGGGGTTGGGATTTGGGTCTGGGGTTATCTGGGGGCAGTTTTGGGTCTGGGGGTGTCCTGGGGGTGTTTTTGGGTCTGGGGGTGCTTGGGGGTGTTTTTGGGTCTGGGGGATGTTTGGGGGTGGTTTTGGGTCTGGGGGTTATTTGGGGGTCAGTTTTGGGTCTGGGGGTTATCTGGGGGCAGTTTTGGGTCTGGGGGTGTCCTGGGGGCGTTTTTGGGTCTGGGGGGTGCTGGGGGCAGTTTTGGGTCTGGGGGTTATTTGGGGGTGTTTTTGGGTCTGGGGTGTCCTGGGGGTGTTTTTGGGTCTGGGGGTTATTTGGGGGTGTTTTTGGGTCTGGGGGGGTGCTGGGGGTCAGTTTTTGGGTCTGGGGGTTATTTGGGGTGTTTTTGGGTCTGGGGGTGCTGGGGGCAGTTTTTGGGTCTGGGGGTGTCCTGGGGGTGTTTTTGGGTCTGGGGGCGTGCTGGGGGCAGTTTTTGGGTCTGGGGGTTATTTGGGGGTGTTTTTGGGTCTGGGGATATTTGGGGGTGTGTTTTGGTCTGGGGGATGTTTGGGGTGTTTTTGGGTCTGGGGGGTGCTGGGGGCAGTTTTGGGGTCTGGGGGATATTTGGGAGTGTTTT